TCACACAAATATTTACAAATCTCCATGTGTCCATTCCTACAACTCGCATGTAATACTGTTTCCCCTTCTATATCCACCTTCTGAGACATGTACTGAGAACACACACAGTTCTTATGTACCACACGACCATCTACTGACTCACACTGGTGATGTTCAACTTCATCTCGTTGTAAGGATTTAAGTATAAATCTCTCCACTCTGTGAAATATACCAAGGTTTCCTGTTTCTGCCCCAACAAAGAGCGGGGTTAGTCCAACCTGATCAGTGTCGTCTATCAAGTGTGGATAAGTTTCACACAATATTTCTACCTCCTTTTCTCTCTCACACCAACACGCATGATATAGAGCATTGTTATGAGATAATGGTAGATTGTCTCCCATCTTTTCCAAATCAACTATACACTCCCCTAGTTTAGCTCTTATATTCACACTTCCTCCCCTACTTCCACAATTCCAAGTGTTCCAGTCAGGTTTTACACCTTTAGACAGGATATATGTAGCACATTCTTCTGATCCAGTATAACAAGACACATTTAACACAGCAAGTTTTATCTCATCATTCAAACCACTGGCAATATTTTTAAGAACATTCACACTTTTTTGCTTCACTGCACAAAACGGTGTGTTCTCTTCACAACCTACCTCCTCAGACAGAAGATATTTAGAACATACTCCTAGACCAGAGCAACATGCTATGTTCAACAAGTCAAGTTTTATCTCATCATTCAAGTATACAACAACTTTTTTAAGTACATCCACATACTCTCCATCAACATAACAACGTCTCTTGATCAATGACCACAATGGGGTGTTCATGTCCGGTTTCACACCCTCAGTAAGAAGATGTAAAGCAATTTTTTCTGCACCTGAAGAACATGCTTTATTCAACACATCAAGTTTATCAACATTTTCCTCACTCAGCCATCTGACAAATCCCCTCAGAAATTCTCCATCAGTCCATACATCTAGAGAGTCAATAAAAGCACCGTATTTGTCTTCACATTCAAACTCTCGGTGTAATCTTTCATACATATATGTGTATTTCTCTGGTGATATGACAATTCTGTCTGACAACCTTTTTGAAGTTGTTATATATCTCAGAGAATTTCTTGGACAATGCTCTATGTACCCTTTTGGACTTTTTGCACCATACAAAAGTGCTACTGTGGCATGTATAGAGTCATGATAAAATCGGTACACATCATCCCCTGACCAATGTTTTTCTTTCACTACCAAGGAACCTAAGAAAGCTTCTAAATTTTGCTGTACAAATCCTATTTTTTTCTCATAAGACCACATACTTTTGTCATCCTTAACACCCAATAAATCAACTTTAAAGGATTGCTCCAGTAATATTTTACTGACTTTTTCTCCATTAGGTTCTAGATCCTTTACCTTAATTTCACCTTCACTGAGGAAGAGAAACAAAAGGGCAGTACATTCTGTCAATTTTGATAATGCTTCTTTCAAAAAAAGGAAAGGGAACTTAAAAAATTCTACTCTCTTCTCCTGCAAATCAGGGATATCTCTGAATAACCGACAACATTGTGGGAATCCTATTCCTGGGGCACATTTAACAATCTCTTCCTTCTCTTTTTCTGACCATGAAAACCCATCGGTTTTAGGTTTGTACAACTCTAAAAGTTCTTCTTTTTCCTCTTTAACTTTGTAATTGTTAGAGCTTAGATCAGTAATGTTGAATTCAGTGAATATTTTTTCCAAAGAACATTTTTTCAAAGAATTAAAAACCTCATTACGAATTGTGATGAGAAGGAAATTTGCCTCGGTATCTTTATCCCCACGAAGCATTGGAAGAATAGATTTTATCCTTTTGTTCCACTCTACAACATCGCTTTCACACACAACTTTTTCTCCAAAAATATCATCAATGAAAGTAATCAATTGAGATTTTATTGGCAGGAAATCTAAGTGTTCAATGTTGTGGAGTTCTACAGGCTGTCTGCCCTGTTGCTCCTTACAGAGCAAATGAATCAGCTGAACTGCGGTAGCTGTTTTCCCATCTCCAGTGTTCCCCTTGATGATAACTACATGGTTCTTTTGGAGCTTTTCTTTAGCATCCTGAAAACTTTTTGTCATCATGAATTTATTATTCTTCACTTCCTCTTCAATCATGGCTTTGGTTCTTCCTGTAATGAAACAGAAATTATAAAAGAATGCTTCAACTGACAATACTTTCTCTTACCTTCAACAAATGTATCCATTCTTTTCTGGATGCAAGATATCCTTGCCTTACCATAGGGTTGAGATGGTTGGATTCCCCAGTCATAATCTTTTCTTGAAATATGTCACTTTAACAATTAAGGCATTGAAATGAATCCTTAACCCCCTCGAGGTGAGATGGGATTAGGGACTAATAATTAGTCTTGGCTAAAACTATTTGCACATATGTATTCAGTTGCATAGTGTCAAGCTATAAGCAAAAACATCTGGTAACAATAAGACACTGTCATCGATATCCCTCACTCGCAGTGCAAAAGTCATTAACAAGAGGTGCAATGGGCCTGCATCGCTCACCTGGTATAAATCTCACGCTTGTAACCTTAAAAGAGATCTAAAATAAAGCTACAGGCAAAATATCAGAATTCACGACTTTATGTCATTCAAAAGAACCTGTAATTTTTTTAAACATTTGACCACTGTGACCTTTAAATAGAACAAAGTCATTACATTGAACAAACTGTATAGCCCTTCATCTCCGAAAGCAACTTGCCAAGTATCACCACTCTAGACCTTTTGTTTATTAAAATTAGGTCATTTAAAGGTTAATACATAGTTGACCAATTGTGACCTTGAAAGTAGGTCAAGGTCATTACAAGAGGCCCAGAGGGCCTGTATCGCTCACCTGGATATCTAAGCAATCATGGCAAAATATTCTTCAAAGAAGATCCCAGGGGCAGGGCTAGACCCCGAGGCCAATCCTTGTCGCATATCTGTATTTGATTTTTCTTGCCCAGCAATTGTATGTAATGTGATTATGGGGTGGGGATCTCAACTGTTTCCAAGTTGTGACTCAGAAACTTAGGTCCCTAGGGTTGTGGCCAGACCCCCGGGTCAATTCTAATATCATGACTGAATTCGTCTCTTTATGCCCAGCATTTGTATATATAGTTTTGGGGTGGGGAGCTCAACTGTTCCAAAATTATAACCCGGGGTAACCTTTCTAAGGGTGGGACAGATGCCAAGGCCATCCTGGACGCATATGTGCATTTGTCTCTTTATACTCAGCAATTGTATATATGGTTATAGGGTGGGGATCTCAACTGTTTACAAGTTGTGACTCAGAAACTAGGTCACTAGGGGTGTGGACAGACCCAAGGGTCAATGCTTATATCATAATTGTGTTTT